TGTTTCTCTCTTCTCTTCCTCCAGACTCTGGGACCTTGATTTCCAAAGGAAATGCAAAATTTATTTTCATCAGAGAACATAACTTTGGACCACTCAGCAGCAGTCCCAGGCGAGACGCTTCTGACACTTTCTGTTGTTCAAGAGTGGCTTGTCACAAGGAGTGCAACAGCTGAAACCCATGGCTTGCATGCTTCTGTGCGTGGTGGTTCTTGAAGCACTGACTCCAGCTGCAGTCCACTCTTTGTAAATCTCCCCCACATTTTGGAATGGTTTTGTTTCACAATCCTCTCCAGGCTGCAGTTATCTCTATTGCTTGTACACTTTTTTCTACCACTTCTTTTCCTTCCCTTCACCTGTCTATTAATGTGCTTGGACACAGAGCTCTGTGAACAGCCAGCCTCTTTAGCAATGACCTTTGTATCTTACCCTCCTTGTGCAAGGTGTCAATGGTTGTATTTAGGACAACTGTCAAGTCAGCAGTCTTCCCCATGATTGTGTAGCCAACAAAACTAGACTGAGAGACCATTTAAAGGCCTTTGCATGTGATTTGAGTTAATTAGCTGATTAGAGTGTGGCACCAGGTGTCTTCAATATTGAAGCTTTTCACAATATTCTAATTTTCTGAGACACTGAATTTTGGTTTTTTATTAGTTGTCAGTTATATTCATTATCGTTTCACTTTTTGAATGGAATTACTGAAATAAATGAACTTTTTTCATGATATTCTAATTTTATGACCAGCACCTGTACACAAACAATAGAAGCAGATAATGACACTTCTGAAAAAACAAGTTGCTTGTGTTCCTAATGAGGTAAAGAAAAAATGTACAATTTAAAACTTTCTACGAGCTTTTTTGACTAGAAGGTACAGTTGGTATCAAGACTGTATGAGTGTGTGTTTGTGTTTCACCTTCTCATCCAGGTCGTCTTCACTGTCATAAAACTCTTGAGTCTGGGTCTCCCAAGTGAACTCCACATGAATCTGAGAGTTAAATTTCCCACTTTGGGCCAACTCCAGCTAAGAATTAAACACACACAGAGATGAACACTCACCATGCTGTAAATATAAAAATATAAATATAAATATAAACTGTATGTTG